TTTGTCTACGTTTTTTATATGTTTATTAAACGTATTATTTCCGTATACTTTCCTTATACTAATTATTTATAGGGTGACCATATATTATTTCTGAAGAAAATCTTTCTGCTGAAGGTTACCTAAATTGGGTTCAAAATCAAACTGATTTCATATTCCAATTAAAATATAAGCAATTTTTTTTATTTACAAGCAATTATTAATTTTTATACTGGTGTTCGTATGAATAGACCTTTATTAAGAACTGCAGCTAGACAAATATTTACGCCTATTTGGTCTGCCCGATAGCATCCAATTTATCAATTGATTGAAGTTGCGGATGAAGAACAAATGCTACGACTAAAACTCAAAATTCATAATCTAATTCAAAAAAGGATTGTAATTTCATGAGCTGGGCTCCTAAATCAACATCAAGGTCTCAATGCAGTGCTTGAAGAAATCAATAAAGCTCTTAAATCATTGATTCCTCCTATACCTTCACAATGGCATTGGGAAATTGCAATACGTAATTGTACTAAATTTATGAAATTATAGGCTAATCTTTTTAATTCAATAGGGTATTCTGAAAATAAGGTTTGAGGGTCTTGTACATGTTCTGATTTCACTGCTGAATCATGCCGATTTTGTGTTCAATTAAGAAAAATGAATTTTGTGAATCCTAATACTAACAACCGTGCTTTTCGAAGTATTAACGAAAAATTAATGCTAAGTGAAGAGATAAAAAATTTAGCGAAATTGCATAAAACAAAAGAATTCAATTTATTAAGATAACATTACACTAGTCGAAATAATTCATTTCGTCACTTTTTTAAAGTGCTGAATGTTGGCAAAATATAACTAATATCTGCCAATCATTACCAAAACAATCAGCATTTTTAGTTATAGCTGATGTTGCCTAATTCAGGTGCCACACAAAAAAACATTTGACATTAACGATTGGTAGTTATTTGATATATCACTAGGTAAAATAATACACTTCATCACATTTAAAATGCTGAAAGTTAGCTAAAATATAGTCTAATTCTGCTGATCATTACCAAAAAATCAGCATTTTGAATAAATAGAAAATCAGTTATCTCAGCTATCAATCAGCATTTATGTTAAAAATTGGTTAAAATTCAGCATAAATCAGCTTAAAATCGGTCAAGAATTAGCAAAAATCAATTAAAAAATCGAAACTAATAAATCTCATTTATTGTTTATTTATGATTTATAATTTATTTTATTATTATATAATAAATTACTCAAAAAGAATATATATTGTATTATATTTTATTCAAAAAAAATACATTTGATTTTTTAAAGATAA